CTGCTTGGCCTTGGCCCCCCAAACCTGCGTGCTGTAGCGGCGTGCTGGGTGTGCAACTCACACTCGTGGCTCGTGGCTCGTGACTCGTGACTCGTGACTCGCGACTCATCACTCATGACTCCAAGAACTCGACTGACTGCAGCAAAGAAGGCTACACGTGGATGCGAGGTTAGCAAACACGTGACCTCAAGCCTAAAGACGTTGAATTGCCTCCACCTGAGGGCGCCGATGGAGTTTGGCCGGACATGACATGAGCATCGAGAGGAGCCGCCGCGACGCTTTTCGCCTTCACTGTTCACTGTTCACTCACAGAGTAGGATGCGAGTCGCACAGATCGTCAAGAGGATGCTGAGTGCGGCCATCAAAAGGAACATCACAATCAACAGCAAGCATTGGCACTTTGCGCCTCGCGAAAGCCACACCACCATAGCGACAGTCCACCTCACACGGCTAGCAAAGGGCGTATGCTTGCCGGTCTTGCACAGAGAGGGCTACGGATCAGCGGTTTGCCACGTTGCACTTTACCCTCTGCTTCTCACTCTGTATTTTCACTCACGAGCACATTTCAAAGCCGATCCTCGCCTGCACGCCTTTCCGAGATGCCACGTCCACCTCGCCTCGCACGCGTGGCGTCCAGCGGCAACATGTCCTCCATAACGCGGGCAGCATCAGACGCTATCGCCACATCCATCCACTCTGATCAACCACTTTCGGTCCCTTCCGCTCGCACAGACAGCAGTCGAGCAGCTCAAGCTGTGCAGCAGTCAGCCTCCGCACCGATCCTTCAGCAGACAAGGAGACGATCGGCCCGAGGTAGTGCGAAGCAAGTGGAAGCGCAGGTGCTGGTGGATGCGAGTCAAGTGAAGGAAGAAGTAGGAGAGGGAGCTGCGGATGTGAGACCTGTGCTGGATGAATCATCAGTGGATGCTCTGAAAGGCAGCCGCAATGGCCGATACAATGCTCCTTCACGCAAGCGCAAAGCCAGCGCCAAGAGTGCTGCGGCGGCCAATGGGATGCTGAAAGATGAGAGTGGGGAGGAGATCATAGCACAGTCGAATGCGCACCCTGCACCAACCGAGCCGCCGCAGATCAACGGCGTGCACAAGACCGACTCTCTCTCTCCTGCGCCTTCGGACGTGCCTCCGCCATCCAAACGCAAACGTCAAACCAAGAAGCAAAAGCTGGAAGAGTCTCAAGACGGTGCAACGGAAGAGACTCCCAAAGTATCAGCGCTGGAGCGCAAGAGGCTGGCTGCGATCGAAGCGCACCACAAGTGGGAGCCTGCACCTGTGCAGCACAGAGATTTTGCACAAGAGGGCTCTGCGCAAAGAGGCGCGTTCAGGGGCAGATTGGGATACGCTTGCTTGAACACGGTGCTCAGAAGCACCAAACCGCCCAGCTCCAAAGAGAGCATCTTCAGCTCTCGGACGCTCAGGCTGGCGACCATTCGCGAAAAGGGAGTCGAGGCGGCCATTGAGCTCGCGAGAGCGAACATCAACGATATTGTGAGCGTGCGGATACTTGCACCCTGGGAGAGTTGATCGCTGACAGACCCGTCCTTTTTGGTGTCGTTAAGATTCCAATGTTGCACTGGAACGTGGCAAACAACATCCGCTTCATGCGCCTCTCGTGCGAAATGCTGCCGTTCGCATCGCACAATGAAGTAGGCTGGGACGTCTCTGTGCTCGAGACGGAGCTCAGAAGAGCGGGAAATGAAGCGAAGAAGCTGGGAGTCAGATTGACCCTCCATCCCGGCCAATTCGTCCAGCTCGGAACACCGAACCAGCAGGTCCTCGAGAATAGCATACGAGAATTCGAGATATATTGCAAGATGCTGGATTTGATGGGATTGGGTCCCGAAAGCGTGATGATATTGTGAGTTCCAAGACCACAGCGCGCATACTGAAGCAATGCGCCTCACTCACTTCCCTACTTCTTCAGGCATGGCGGCGGCTCTTACGGCGACCAGGCGGCCGCTTTAGAGCGCATCGAGAACACTATAACTACGCGCTTATCCGCTTCGGCTCGATCACGATTGGTGTTGGAGAACGATGAGATCTCTTACTCTGCCGAAGAGCTCCTACCGCTCTGTGAAAAACTGGATGTACCCTTGGTCTTTGACTGGCATCACGATCTGCTACGCCCATCTTCGCTTACTCCTGACGAACTCCTACCTCGTATCATCAACATATGGCAAAGAAGAGGAATCAAGCCTAAATTTCATCTGAGCGAGCCGAGAGCTGGAGCAAAGACGCACAGGCAGAGAAGAGCGCACAGCGATCGCTGTGTGGAGTTGCCGATGGAGTTGCCGGAAGATGCTGACCTGATGATCGAGGCCAAGGACAAAGAGCAAGCCGTCTTGGAGCTCTACAGGATATAGTGAGTTGAGGGCACCGGTAGTGCAGAGCATGATATGGCTTTTGCGTTTCCAGACCATTCACTGACATTAACCCCTGTGACTACAGTAACTTATTCCCCGTAGACAAGATGGTCCTGCGACCTCATGCAGATGATGTGACAATGGCCACGGCTGGACGTCGAACTGTGCTGGACGGCAGCGGCGGCTCGACCAAACGATCTGGCTCTCCGACCAGTACTGGATCTCCACGCAAGCTCACGCCCAAAGAAGAGGAAGCGCAGAAAGTCTCAAACGCTATCAAAAAAGCCAAAGCGGTCGCTGAACGTCTGGGAAGGACCTACGATGGGCCTAGGGAAGAGGAAGATTTGAGAGCAGAGTTGGCAAAGAATTTGGTCCCCGCGAGTCAGGTCAGAGCTGAAATGAAGACGGCGGCGAACAGAATCAGAGAGGATCTCAAGGCTGGCAGGCCTAGAGTCGCTCCTGCGCCCATCTCAAGAGAGGGTACACCGACTGCGGACGCAGAAGAATAGTAGCCATTCTGCACCACGCAGGCGCTACCGCGTCAAAAGCACTCGATTCATTTCCTCGTGCGGGAGCATCTACGAGCCGACATGGATATGCATCAAATGGAATTAGTCTTGCATTCATTAGAAATCGGCGTGACGTGAGGTCAAAGCGCGCTGCTCGAAGTTTGTGCGTGTTTTGGGCGTCAATAGCACTGACCTGACCCTCGAAAGCAGGGATGGTGGGTGAGCCCGACTGAAGAGGGGTATCAAGCAGAAGCTTGCTTGACAAGATCGGTGTGAGAGCCTTCCTGCCTGGTTGAAGCGTTGCTCGCGCGATCCTGAAGTTCGTGCTGGCCCTTTGCGTCCCGGCGCTGGATGGGCGCAGCATTGGCACCTCGATGCTTCTTGACGAGTCCCCCAGCAAGGAGCCAGAGAGCGAGGAGAGCAGCAGCGACGGCCAAAGCGACAAAAGCGCCAATGACACCCGCCACCACGGGACTGACTGCGTGTCGTCCCTCGGTACTCGTGACGGATGCGTAACCTGCGCCTCCGGTGCCGTTCAGAGCAGCGAGGGTGGAGCATCCCTTGGCTTCGGTTTCTGAGCATTGGTTGCACCACTTGCTCAGAGTGTCCAAGTTGTAAGGTTGCATAGCCTTGTTGAAGTCCGACAATGGCATCGTCATGGAGTTGGAACCCAGGAGCGCGTACGGCTCGAAAGGACCGCTGGTGCCATTGCGGAAGAGCATCCTGATACTGTGGTCAGAGTACACCTCGAAAACGGCTGCAGATGCATAGTCCACCACGGACGTGCTCAATGGTGCGCCCAGGTCGAACATCTTGAACAGCGAGAGGAATGGCTTGTAGCTGATCTGCAGAAGCGAAAACTTCAACGGGTCGGTCGCATTGTCGAGGCGATGCAAGGAGTCGAGCACTGGTGCCAAAAAGCTACGCGCAGACGGTGCAGGATTAATCAATGTCAGCATGATGACACTGCGTCGAAAAATCACCACAGAGTGCTCACGCTTGACCGGCGACGTTTCCAACGTTGCTTTTGTCGGTGTCTGTGAAGGAGCCAGCCTCGTGGTAGTCGGCCCAGTACTTTGCAAGTGAAAGGTTCTGTGCGCCGATCTGAGGAGCCAAGGTCGTATTGTGGATAGACTCGACGTTCAGAAAGTCAAAGCTGGCAAGAGTACGCAGGTTGGTCTGGGTCAGTCAAGAACAGACCAGATGTGCCGAGACCAAAGGGAACACGCACATGTTCCAAGCGTTCTCGAGCTTAGCAGGTCTGTTGGGACCCAGCACCCCCTTGAGACTCGCAAAGAAAGGATTGGCGATTGCAGCTTGCTTCTTGAAATCATCCGAAGCGTAGAAATCTGCAAGACGGTCTTCAAAGGATGAACAGTCGGTCCAGCCTTCGAAATCAGGACTCTGATCAGCCTCGACCGTCTCAATGGGGATGAGCTGCGCGCGATTGTCCCACGACACGACGTTGCCGTTTGCCAGGGTGATAGTCTCGCTGTATGGCGGGTAAAGACCTGCGCCGGAGCCGAGGAAGATGCCGATGAGCATGCAAAAGAACAGAAGGGCATCAAGCAAGAGCTCACCCTGGAGTAAAGCAGCGGCACTCTCGAGGATGGGTCCGGACTCTCCGCCGGCGTCGGCGGCGGCGCTTAGTTGCGCATTCTGCGAGACGGTAGTGTTGATGCCTTGTATGAGAGATGGTGACGAGGTGTTGAGGTACGCATTGCGTAGATCTGTGCCGAGGTTGTACTCTTGAACGTAACCTGCCACTGTCAAATTTGTCTTTGTTGCGCTGCTTCGGCAATGATCAACATTAGCGTGCATCATGGGCATTCCACGCCTTGCATCAACGACGCCGTTTCGACTCACGAGTATGTGGTGGGCGACTGATAGAAACCTTGACGATCGCCATGACGCGCAAACACGAGGACGCCAGACACCGTGGCCATGATTGGATAGATTGGTGGGGGAGGAAATCTGTCAACGGCGCAGAAGCGAGTGATGTTGAGTGGATGGGGAATTGTTCAGGGGCGACAGGCTCGAAGAGGCGTGACGAGGCGTGACGAGCGTTGTTTATCTACGGTAGTCCCAGAGAGCCGCACTGCTCTGCAGCGCACCCTCGCACACGTCTTAGGGCCAAACTTTCTTCGCTCTGCGCGAGCCAATCGTGAATTGGCGTGGCAAAGACGGAGCGGAGATATCGCTTTGCGTCTGACAGAAGAGCTTATCAGACTCATCGGACTTGCATCGAGAAATTCGCTCGATCCTGATCCTGATTGGCTAGACGAACGCACATCTTGCAGGCGCCGCAAAATTCTCGCACAAAAACAGCCTGCATCGGCTTATCGGCAGTGCGTCCGCCTGCATCACGTGATGTCGTGATTTGCTGGTGAGCGGCCTGGCCAAATCACGTGTTAGTGTATTTATTATCCTGCGATCAAGGATGTTTTGAATTTGTGATTCACATTCGTTATTCTTGATTCTGAATCAAAAGCTGAGCCGAATGAATCTTGATGAGTCCGTGCTGAGTCAAGAGTCCTTGAGCCGTGAAATGTTGCACCTCTCCCGCCACGCGAGTCGCCTGTTGAGCAATCTAACTGTCGTCCAGAGCAGAGCGAGTGTGCGCGTGTGTTGCTAGGGCGGTCCGGTAGACAAGATCGATCAAGCAATGCAGCCAAAGGTGCCGGCGATCAGGGGCAACAGAGGACAAAAAGGTCGTCTAGAGACGAAGTCGTTGTTAAATTTCGCGGTTGGGGGGCAGGAGCGCTAGGCTCGCTGTCTGTCGTGGATGAAACTCATTATTGCCTTGTCGAAGATGCTTGACTGCTCCCCTCGACCGTGTAACGCTTCGAATGAGAGCATCGTGTAGACCGCAACGTTGTCTAAGGTCTCTTGCCTGTCCATCCTGCTTG